CCCTCCCTATCGAAGCGGTCTCGAGTACTGCCACTTCAGGAGTGGACAGCCAAAGTTCACGGTGATCGATGCAGTTTGGGCTTCCAGAAGAAGGCATGGTTGTGTTCTTGCAGCTGCTTTGGGTGACTTCAGCTGCTTTAAGGACTTGGCAACCGAAAGGCTGCCGGTCGCTCATTTTGGACTGGTCTTAGGCGATCTGCTGCAATGGTGGTTGTAGCTGCCATATGACTTGGGTTCAAGCAGACTGCGTCCGTGCAGGCATACATCCCCTTGTGATGGGTGTCGGCTGCGAAGCATCGTGGCGGCGGATCATGGAGAACGTGCCACGGCACAGAGCATTGCCTGTATAACTTCCGAAATTACAGATTGGTGTCGGTTTACTCGTCTCAGATCTGCGCTTTGCACAGGTGCTCAAGAGGCATCTTGGACCTGGAATAGTCATAGTGATTCATAGTGCAATTGGATACTGCAGCCTCGTTGTTCTGCTGAAGAAAGCGTGCAGCTGACCGCACTGTTGCTTCCAGTTGCCAACCTGGGGGCAAATGCGTTTTTGCCACCTTCTACTCCTTCGAGGTCCCAGCGTCAAGCTTTGCATGTGTTTGTCATGGTCTCAGAATGTCTGAAGGGTTTTTGACATTCTTCGTTCTTCAGGCGACTTCGGTGCAGAGACATTGCAAGGAGAAGCTGCCACACCTTTACCCGGAACATGAAGCCGTGGTGCCAGGACCACGGGTTCACAGCAGAGATTCGCGAGAATCCACACTATGCCAGGAGCTGAGAGCGCGGACGGAGCAACCATGTTCTTCTTTGTGCTTTTTGCATGTTTGCACAGTTCAGGCAATGACCAGGTCGGATCAGGTGCCGGGCTGACATGCCTACATGTGACACCATTCTGTCTTGTGATGTCTCTCGGTTATTAACCTACGTTGTTGCCTAATTCAATCATCTCCTTTGCCGCAGAGTTGCCGTGTGCGACAGGCCGGAACACATCTGAGATTTCTGGTCTTCGTCCACTGCTAAATTGATTGAAAAAGCTGCGGGATTTTTTTGCCTTTGTGTATGCCCTGAGACCGACGGAAGCACCAGAAGATTTGCACGCCTTGCTTTTGGCTTCTGAGGCTCATGAGGAATGACGATCCCCACTTCAACAGTTCCACAGGTAGCCCTAAATGAAGCTGCTGTAGATGCCGAGCCGTTGAAGCCATGGCGGGTGAGCTCGGCGAGGATGGGCGTGCCGTGATTTTTCTGCTCGGAAGTTCCGGAGGGGTGACCCCGCCGGCTTTGAAAAGGCCGACCTGGCCTTTCTCCAGACTGCGGCGAGCGGGCTCAGACGGTGTCTTTTGGGGCCGATCAGGGCCCGAGAGGGCCCTAGGCTAGGGCACTGACTCCTCCAAGGAAGCAGAGCTGACCGCGGTCTCAGATCGAATGCTCGTTCTTGCATGTGCCTCGCCGGGTCCCGCGAGCAGCAACTCCAAAGACCCCACAGTCATCTAGGTACTCTGATCTGGCTCTTGAGCGACTACCTAGTGCGAGACCCAGATGGACATGGCATGTAGCAATGCTCTTCACATCTCTTCGCAGGTTCAGCGGCTGTGTCCATTCCCTCCGGCCTGATTCCGAGAACGTAGCGCCTGTGGTGATTCGCGACAGTTTCCGATTGAGGCGCCGGAGGCAGACAAACTTTACCTTCGAGACGAGCTGCACGAGGCGAGTCTGGCCGCAGGCTCAGAGCCTTCCTAGTCTCACTGGTGCCTTGCACACCCATAGCATCCATAGCTGCTTGTCTCGCGAGTTTCTCTGCGTGGCATTCTCGCTTGCGGTTGCTGGAACTCGCGGAGCGGCCATGCCTGGCCCCCCGGATTGGATCTGCAGACTTCGGACATGCCTGTCTGTTGAAGAGGCACGACGTGATGCATCTGCGCGCCTGCAGGCCTTTGCTTTGGCTGTCGAGTCTTCTCACCGTGGGTTGGCCACGGTCCTGCGGTGGAGAGGAGGGTCTGCCGGCAGCGAAAGCACGCCAAGCCCCAGGCTTTGCGAGAAGCATCTGGAGCATTCGACCTGCATTGCGCAGGCTGGCCTGCGGTTTGCAAGTTCATGAGTTCAAGCCCCACCTGTTTGAACACTTGTGTCAGAGGTATGTAAGTCCGGTGTTGGACAGGTCGGCCAGCCCTTGATTGCTTGTGCCGCTTCGTCGAAGGTCAAGAAGCGTGCAGGGTATGGCTGTCCGCTGTATTTTCTCTGAGGTTCGAGGCGTGTTGGTGACTTTGCTCCTCTGGGCACTGTACCTTGCATGTCATCGCCTCGACTGCACGAGCTGGTGAAAGGCCGCGGCGGTGCACCTGATTGATACTCCGTTCTGCCCAGGTCGATGTTGCGGCTGTTGCGGTTCAGGTGGGCCGTCACGCGGTTGGCCGCATGTGCTGTGTCGAGTCGTACAGCGCTCTTCCCACAGGCATCTCGTCGGCATCGTCGCAGGCCAGTCTTGGAATTCCGGCAAGGAACTGTGATCGGATGTTGTGATTGCAAGCGACCCGAACCAAATCGGGAACTTAGCCAGCACAGCTACCAACAGAACATGCCGGCTTTGCATCAGCTGATGTCCTGTTGTCTGGTTGGTCCTGTTCTCTTTGTCCTCTTGGACCTGCAGGCACCGTCGGCAAAGCAAGGCAGGAACCTTTTATCAACACACCTGAATAAAGTGGCTTTTGGTGGAAAGGTATGGAGAAGCCATTGCTCTGAGTTTGACCAATTCCGTAGCCCTCGCCTGGCGTTCTAATAGCGGCGAAAGCACTAAGCAAGACCAAAAGTATACATGTTCTTGCGGCCTCGTTTGCGGAACGCTATGGTTGAAGCAGGCGTTAATGAGTTAATGCCTGATGCTTGCTTGTTTCTTTAGGGCGAGTGTCAGTGGAAAAAGTTGCCCCACTGCTGCATGGTGTCACCTGCGCAGCCTTTGATGATCTTTTTGTTGCATTTGCCTCTCTGTTGCAGTACCAAGAAGAAGTCCACAGATGGCGAACTGGGAGGTCACAAGGAGCGAATCCCTGTGGATTGCCGCAGCAACGGTTCTGTCACGCTCTGAGCGCGAGGACTGGACAGTTCGTACCATCGATGGCCTTGAGGTTGATATCGAGGAGCACTCGTGCAGCAGTTTTTCCGTTGAGAAAGCTCTGCAAAATGTCGGTCGAAGGAACTGTGGTCTTCTCTTGCAAAGTGCTGCAATCCAGACTTGGTTTTGTTGGCGTTGGGACATCAATCACGTAGGCTGCAACTGGAACAGCTGCCCACGAACCCGCACGCTTGAAGAGCGATGGGCTGTAAGAGACAGCTTGGCAGGAGCCTGACCTGTACATTCCGACCATGGGCTTCGTGACTTACGTGACCCCAGTCACAAACTGGGAGTCATCCAGAGAGGCATCAGCAGCTGAGTCTTCTTTCAGGTGGTGCTTTACGGCGTGGTGCGGGGCATCCAGGCAACTCAGCCAGTCACAACGTATCCCCAGAGGAAAACGAGCGATCTGAAGGAGACGTTTGCTCCGGAAGTGCTCTCTGCGACTATCAGCTCGGCCTTGGCAGATGTCTCAGGGCTCTTGAGAGTGTACGGCACAATGGCACAAGTTGCATCAAGTTGCACAAGGTTATTCTTGTCGTTGAGATGGCCCTGATGAAAGGGGCCCTCTTCATGGCAGGAGCTGTGGCGTGTCCGCACTAACTACTAGTGACGAGTCCTGAGGCTCCCATTCTGTAAGGTCAACACACCTACGCTGGACCTCTTGGCGCTGCTTGGGCCGAACCGTCTTGTTTAGGGTTAGTTGCACACAGCTCTGTCCTCTGTGATGAGTTGTGCACACCGTGTTGGTGCCAATGTGCATGTGCGAGGTACAAGTTTTTCTACCTGTCTCTGCATCTCGGTGTCGGCCTCCTCTGTGGACACGGCCGCAGACCGTCAGGTCCTGCTTCGTTGGGCGAGTTGGGTTCAAGTGTCGATTGTCTTTCTGTGAGGCTTTTTTTATGCCTTGCCGGTCTGTGGCCTGCACATTAGCTGCGCCATCGCACTTTGGCAGGCTCACTGGGCAGAGTAGACGTGTCCCTGCAGCTGTGTAACTCTTGCTTTTGCACTGAGTCTGTCAAGAGGCTTTACGGCGTTTAGCTCGATTGCCGTGGCCTCGCCGGAACAAAATCTTCGTCTGAGGGAGGTATCAAGTTTGCTCCATGCAGGCAGCCATCCCACGGTCAGGAATGTGTCACAGACATGCACCAGATGTGCATCAAGGCGTTAGCAGATTGAAGTACGTTCCAGAAGCAGTCAGAAGCGGTGTCGATTTCCCACTCAGGTGCTACCGATCGTGCAAAGCGCTGTGTGTCCAGCCGGCTTGCATTGAGACCTTTGTACGAAATGCCTCACATTCCAGAACGCATTATCGCAGGTTGGATGCTGCTCCCGTCTTGGCCGAAGGTGGCAATTGCCAATGCTCCTGAGGAGGCGGCGGCGACTGCTGTGTTGCCCACGGCGACGGTGTACCATGTCCTTATCAATTCCCAGCACCTCCTGCCGGAGGTCACCATCGCCATCACCACAACTGCCGCGTCAGTGCTGAGCGGAAACTCGAGTGCCTTCTGATGCTTGAGCGAGTTGACAAACAGGCAGACATACCAGCAGAAGAGCTCAATGAGCAACAAGAATAGTCTTGTGTGTTGATGCTTTTCTGAAATAGCACTGCTCTTTCTGAGCGGATGGCCTGTGACGCTTCTTGTCAGCACACCGACATGTCTGCATTTCCGTGTCGTGTCCTGTGATTGTAGTTTTGCGGCGCGGACAACGCCACGCCGCTAGTCGGAAAAGGTGATGCTGGGCTATCCCAGCCTGCACGAAGCAAACTTCCCGTCCCCCCTGCGCAACCCGGTCTTGTGTGTTTTGTTGCTTCAGATGGCATTCCCAAGCAGAGTCCTCTGCAGAAGTTGGGCCATTGATACCTCCTCGTTTTGCCCATGTCGCTGTCGGGTAGTGATCGTGGCATTCCTTCTTGACCACGGCATGACCTTGCTCGAAAGGGTCGCATAAGAAGCGGCGCCTGCACTCCCTTCGAGTCGCCTCGATCCCCGGCAACGGAAGCGCCTTCCCTGCTGAACCTGGCCGTGATCTTTGAAGGTGTTCGGCCCGATCTCACTTGATCGCTTGTTGTTATCTTGTACCTATTTTCAAGAAGGCAGTTATTGAAAAGCATCAGTTTTTGTGGTGACATCACCACTGCCGTTTATGTTGCTTGTGCATTGGCAAGTTTCGAAAGCAATTGACTGTTCATGTCTTGCTGAGGGCACGTCCAAATTAGTCAGTCCGAAGTCGCTCTTGTCAGTGCAGACTTTGTCCACCACTTGTCAGGAGTTGCTGACAGTCGTCCAATAAGTTGTCGGGGTGATGAGCTTGCCAAAGCTGCAAAATAAGATTGCATCACTAGATTGAGCAGTTGCGGCATGCCTTAGAATCCGGAAGAAGATGGACAGTTCAAGCAACAGATGGACTTGAAAGTGCCCGAAAGCCAAGTTGGATGCATTGCAGCATTGCCGGAAAAGATGCCTGTGTTTTGCGGCGTGCTGCCGTGTTGCCGTTTCCAGTGTCTCCTTTGAGCCTTCCTTCAGCGATGCGTGCGCGCACAACATGTCCCAGCAATTTCTTGGTCGCTACCGCGGGTCAAGGCGCCATGGAAAGAGTAGGTGGATGGAGGCAACAGATGGCAGTTTATGTTGGCCGTTGCAGCCCCTTGAAGCCATTTCGTATCCATATCACAGCAAGGATTAGTGCAACTCAGTTCAACCATGGAGCAGCGGCTGCTAGTGATTTAGGCTTTCCAATGTTTTGTATGTAGTGACATGGGTTTCGCCGGAGCCACACTGACACTGCGGAGAGCGTGACCATGAGGCTTTTCCTGCCTGTTGGTTGGCTTGGCATGTCTGTAGCGTCTCAAAATCTATGTTCGTGCAGGCGAATTCTGGGATTCATCGGTGGCAAAGCTTCTGCCGGTGATGTTCTGGAGGACAGCATGACGGCATAGCGAGGTCAGCAGTGTGTGCCTCATTTTGGGGCCGCTGCGAATTGTCCACAGAATGCAATTGCAGGAGTTATCCTCCGAACTTCTAGGCTGGACGAAGCATTGCATGGTGCATGGTTGCGGTTGCGGGAACAGCCCCAAGGTCCTGGAGTTTCCCCAGAAGTGTGGGAACGATTGCTAAATCTGAACAATTTGGAGGCCAACTTCTGCTGGCTGTGTTGCCTTCACTTAGGTTTTTAGTCTTCTCTTCGGTATCTGGCCAGGAAGAGTTGGAAAACCATCCCAGGCGGGTTTGACACGGATTTCCCACGACTGACTGTGACAGTGGGCGATCGCAAACGCCAGTCGTGTGCATCAGGAGAGAATCACTGGTGGTTTGTTTAGCCCGGTGCTGCGCCCCGAGAGTCTTTTGGTGGTTAGGGTGGTAGACTGTCCCAGCGGGCTTTTCGACTCCGAACTTCACAAGGTCCGGACAATTTTCATGCTTTGATCGTACGCTGCCTCGAGACGGTCGAGACTGAATTGGCCAAGAAGGCTTGATGGTGCTCTCTCGACTTGCTCGTGGTTATTCAGCTGCTCTGAGGGTCTGTGTTTTTGCGTTGCCTTCAGGCCGACGACCTGGATGAAGCGGCCGAGACGGTCCTTGCTAATGCACTTTTTGTACCGACCCCGCTTCCTGTCCTTCTTGGGGATCGAAAGAATCAAGCTTCGAGCTGGCGTCAGGTCATGTCATACTTACTAGCTGCGCTACCAGCTGCGGCTGCAGGCGCTGTGGCTGTCTTGCCGTTAGCGTGCAGCGTTGGCAGCACGGGACGACGCCCCAAACCTGAGGAGGGGTTGGCACGGAGGATGCCGAGGTCCGCTGCCTGCGACAGTGGAGGGAGAACTGTTCAGAACTCTGCTGTGCATTGTCAAGGCTCGGGAAGCAGCCGGTGCTGCCTTCATGGAGAAGTTGTGGACGGTGCCTTCTTGCAGATTGCAGACTGCAGACTGCCCCCGATTGACTTCGAAGGTCTCTGGAGCTGAGACCAAGCCATTGGGAGAACGCATCGCAGACTCTGCGCTGCGGGCGCTGTGTGTTCGGCCTGGTTGCACTGCACTTGAGGATGCCATTTTGGACTCGTCCTGTGCCGTGCCGAAGACAGGTTCCATGACGGCTTCACGGTGGAAGAGCCAGATGCGACTGAGGAAGGGCATAGAGACTGCAGAGGTCGCACTCACAAGCTAGAAGACTCTGCGAGGATGACGAGGTCCAGGAGGTCGATGGCGTGATGCCGGCTTTGATCTGGTACGCTCGCATACTTGCCGCTGGAAGCGAAAAACGTCATGGCTGCCTCAGGCAAGAAGGAGTGGGACCAGAAGGCTCAAGCCAGCCAAAGAATGGCGACATGCAGGCAAACAGGCTGGGCAATTCACGCCCGCAGTCTTCTCGAGAGATGCTGAGTTGTACCGAGCAAGCATCGGCATGTCAGGGTCGTGGGCCTGCAACTTCTACTAGCTCTCCTTGCAGCCGGAGCTCCATCTGCCATCGTCGCCCAGGCTTCACAAGCCTTTGACGCTTGCACTCTGATAGGTCTGTGCGCATGCCTTTGTCAGGAGAGCATTGATGATGCATCTGTTGATGCACGGCTTTCCAGGCCACAGATTTGATAAAGTTTATCTCTTTGTGTTGTCTGTCGGACAAGCACCAAATGAAGGCTTCTGATTCCCGATGCACGTCCACTCGCCTACCTCAGTGACCCTTCCAGGAGCACTTTTGCACCAAGCCAAACGAATGGGCAACCACATGCTGTTCAGGACAATACCTTTTCGGGCAGAACTTTTTTACTCGTTGCTGTCTGTGGCCATGGGTTCTTTGCTCAGCATACTCTAAGATGGCGAAGGAGCCTTTGAAGCTTTTTTCGTGTTCAGTTTTCTGCAAGTCCTGCGGCGCGATGGTGTGGCGACATGCCTTCTGAGGCTACGACCCGCACGGATTTGGACTGCCTTACGGGGGCTACTTTGCAGGGGCGAAGCAAGAGGCTTTCGCACACCTCTGCATTCAGGCTGGCAACTTGCAGGCAGCCAATGTGAACCTGCCACGGGAGCTGCTGCGGAGGCTCTTGGGCTGCTGTTGCAAGATGTGCGCGATGCTGCCCTTGGCAAAGGCAGGTTTGTGAGACTCTGAGCCTTGGCTTTCCTTTGAAGCCTTCTTGCTCTCCTCTTCAGGTGACATGAGCATCTTGCCAAGTGTGGCCACCAAGCGGCCACAGGACGGGGTCTGCGTCTCCATGCTCGGGAGAAGAGGAGCCACCTTTTGGTTGAGATTTGAAGGAGCTTCTAATTTCTCGGAAGTCGATCCCGGAGGAAGAAGGTCGGGGAAGGCAAGGCACAGCTCCGAGAGCGGGTTTTCCTTCTGCCACAGGTGCCTCTGTGCAGAACGTCTTTCGAGATATGCTCGCGGCACGCGGTTCTCAGGCTGAGGCAGGCCTGCCAGCCTTCTGCCCTTCTCTGCGGCTTTGGGTTTCCACAAGGTGGAGTTCATGGTGGAAGGCATCGTGACCTTGCTGGGCACTGTGAGCAAGGCTCTTGATTCCCAAGTCAAGTCAACAGCCTGGCATGACATCCACTATATTCTGCCATTCCAGGAGAAGGGCAGCTACCTGCCGAGCTCGATGAGGTGCGAACGCGTGAACTGTTGAGCTATGAGACCTGTAATTCTATGGGCTGCGCTCACATGCGGGCAGCGCAGGTAATTAGAAGGCTGGAGCAAGGCCACGCACCCCCTCCGCCGAACCCCGCTGATGCTGATGATGCGCCCTTTGCGGGCTTCCGCAACCCATTCAAAAACATCGCCTCGCGCTGCAGGGCCGATTGCGGGCGCCCCGAGTGCTCATGATGCTCGCCGGCTGGCCTCCTGGGGTGGTCCACGAGGGTCCCGAAATCCGCCATACCGTCGGGAATGGCTGCGAAACGCGTGCGTTGTTGGGTGAGCCTCCGAACAAGGTCCCGCACGGCCCAATGGAACAACGAGGGTCCGATGAAGCAGGGTCGGCGTGGCGGTCGCGCCTTTTGCTAAAGCGAAGCTAGCAAGCTATGGCTCGCCTGAGGCTCGGACTCACAGGGCGCACGCGCTCGGTTCTAGGGGCTGCGCCCACCGGCAGGCAGGGCAGGTAGCAGCCCGGACAGGCCGATATAAACTTGAGCTTCAAACCGCAAACGATCTAGAACAACATTTGACAAGGACGGGGGGGACCTTCTGCCCCCCTCCCCCGTGTCCCCAGGCGCACTGATGCTGATGATGCGAGCCCCGATGATGCGCGCCCTTTGGTGGCTACCCATGGCTACCCCCAAATTACGCAAAACGTTCGAAATTGGGTAAGGTCGGCGGCACCGGCGGTCGCGCCTTTTCCTAAAGCAAAACTAGCAAGCTACATCTCGCCTAGGGCGCACGAGCTCGGTCAGGGGACCGAGCGCGGCAGGGAGGGCAGGGGAGGGGCAGGGTTGTTTTTGGAGAGAGGTCAAGTAGCCTAGGGGTAGGGGAGGAGGCGGCAGGATACAGGCAGGAGGTTTAGCGAAGGCTGTAGAGGAGGTG